TTCTTTTTCTGACTCACCTTTACTCATCGCTGGGTCACCAGACCCTCCTTCCACCAACACACTAACCTCCTTTTCCCCTCTCTCTCCAAGTGAGGTTCTTACCCTCATTACCTCTGCCCGCCCTACCACCTGTCCTCTGGACCCTATCCCTTCAAACCTCCTTCAGACTATCGCTCCTGATATTCTACCGTTTCTCACCCATTTCATCAACACTTCTCTAACTTCTGGTCACTTTCCAAACAGTCTCAAGGAGGCAAGAGTAAACCCTCTCCTAAAGAAACCCACTCTCAACCCGTCTGATGTTATAAATTACAGGCCTGTCTCTCTCCTCCCGTTCCTGTCTAAATCACTTGAACGCGCTGTCTTTAAACAACTCTCCTGTTATCTCAATCAGAACAACCTTCTGGATCCGCACCAGTCTGGTTTCAAGGCAGGTCACTCCACAGAAACTGCTCTCATTGCTGTCACGGAGGAACTGCACACTGCCAAAACTGCATCCCTCTCCTCTGTCATCATCCTGTTGGACCTGTCTGCTGCATTCGACACAGTGAATCATCAGATCCTCCTTCGCACTCTCCAAAAACTTGGAGTTTCAGGCTCTGCACTTTCCCTCCTCACCTCATACCTGAAAGACCGTACCTACAGGGTGACTTGGAGAGGGTCTGAGTCCGACCCTTGTCAATTAACTACAGGGGTCCCTCAGGGCTCTGTTCTTGGTCCCCTCCTCTTCTCCCTGTACACAAACTCGCTCGGATCAGTCATTAGCCCGCATGGTTTTTCATACCACTGCTACGCTGACGACACCCAATTAATTTTGTCCTTTCCCCGCTCAGAGACCCAGGTCGTCACACGCATCTCTGCTTGTCTAGCTGACATCTCTCAGTGGATGTCTGCTCATCACCTCAAGCTCAACCTTGACAAGACTAAGCTGCTCTTCCTTCCGGGAAAAGATTGTCCCACTCTTGACCTAACAATCAACATCGGCACCTCAGTTGTTTCCCCGACTCAGACTGCAAGGAATCTGGGTGTGACCCTAGATAACAACCTGTCCTTCACTGCAAACATCGCTGCTACAACCCGTTGCTGCAGATACACGCTTTACAACATCAGGAAGATACGTCCCCAGCTGACACAGAAAGCGACTCAGGTTCTGGTCCAGGCTCTCGTCATCTCACGCCTAGACTACTGCAACTCCCTCCTGGCTGGTCTACCTGCATGTGCCATCCGACCTCTGCAGCTCATCCAGAATGCAGCGGCTCGTCTGGTCTTCAACCTTCCTAAATTTTCCCACACCACTCCGCTCCTCCGCTCCCTTCACTGGCTTCCGGTAACTGCTAGAATCCACTTCAAGACACTGGTACTTGCTTACCATGCTGCGAATGGATCTGGCCCTTCGTACATCCAGGACATGGTTAAACCGTACACCCCAGCGCGTGCACTACGCTCTGCATCAGCCAAACGACTCGTTGCGCCCTCGCTGCGAGGGGGACCCAAGTTCCCATCGGCGAAAACACGTGGGTTTGCTGTCCTGGCTCCAGGATGGTGGAATGAGCTCCCCATTGACATCAGGACGGCAGATAGCTTGCACATCTTCCGGCGCAAACTGAAAACTCATCTCTTTCGACTCCACTTCGAGCGATATAACTATTAACGAAGCACTTTTATACTAATAAAGGACTGGCTTATCTAAAGCCAGTTGAGTAGCACTTGAAATGTTTGGCTCTATGAAACCTGATGTACTTATATGATTCTGTTTTCTTCAAGTTTGTATTTTGTTGGTCGAACGCACTTATTGTAAGTCGCTTTCGATAAAAGCGTCAGCTAAATGCAATGTAATGTAATGTAATGTAATATAATGTAATTTACTACAATGTTTGCTTAACATTTGAGATAACGGTTGATGTTGATTGGTTGATCACTGGCATGGATTTATGAGTAAAATAAGTGATGATTCTGTCATTTCCTCTTTATCCATTCAGCAACAGCTGGGATTGAGGATGCAAAAATAAACATAGAACAATAGAGCACTGTAGAATATATCCTGTCTCTTACATAGTGATTTGAAGCACTTATTAGGGTAGGTAATTTTAATCCAGAAAGTTTGCTTGACATCAGCTTTTTCATGGGCCATTTTGACTAGTTGAACATCAAGGCATTATAATAATAAAGGTCACAGCTGTTCACAGCTGCATTGCCACATGGGCTCAAAATTGCAGTTGATAATCTGTCTACAAATCCAGAGGGCATGGATCAACATCCCTGGACAGATTAAAACTGTCTGTATTTGATGCTAGAACACCATTAGACAGACCACCATGCTCACTTAGCATAATTCATAACAGAAGTCAATGTGCACTAAACCTTGACACAAAATGCCTTCAGTGACTTCATCTTTTTAAAGTTCATGAACTGTTTTCTCTTTCAAACTCAACCAACCAAACTCTGCATATACCCTCCATTTTCATATGTTTACCCCATAAAAAAAAACATTGATGCATATCACCTTATTTCTGTATCATGTATGTGACGTACTGTATACTTTAAGGTAGCACAATCCATGCAATAAAGAAGATCCCTTTTTGGTTTAATGGAATCTAATGTTATGCTAAATAGATGATTAAATAAGTGAAATGTACCTTAAAGAGAATATCCATACCTATCATATCTTTTTTGAATTGTTTCAGGTCATTGTGTCATAAGTTGATTCAAACAAGATCAGATCAGTACAATTGGTTCTTTAGCCCAAGTAGGTACTGAAGAAATAGAGAAATCCACAGAAGAGTTCAAGTAGAGGTCCTGTCACCAACAGGCAAAAAACGACACCCTCCCTCTCCCCAGCACTTTTTAAGCAGTCCAGTAATCATCCATTTATGAGCAAAAGCATGTTAAAAGGCTGGCAAACTTCAAAGCTGAATTGATATCACAGGATGTTGCACATACTTGGATCTGATCCCTACAGATGGCTGTTGCAATTTTTGGAGGCATTGGTGGCAGCAATATCATTAACTGCACAGGCTTTCGTGAGTCACAAAATACACTGTAATCCTTAAATGTTAATGCTTTAAATGTCAACATCCTGTAAGAGCACACATTAGTACTGATATTCCTTATTTTTTTATGTTATTAAAGGTGTTTAACAGATCTGAGCACTTATTTTTGGCAGAATTAGTGTCTGAATCCATCTCAATACTGCAATATGGATCAGTAGTTCAGCTGGAGAAAGCTGTTTTCTACTTTTGCCAGGATTTTACGCTCATTTGGGACACTCGGAGAGAGAGAGTTCCGTTTCCACAAACTATCCCAAATGTCATACTGTGAAAGACCTCCTACCCTAACCACACAACGATTTGAATATTTCTTTCATCAAAGAGGGTTTTTTTCTTTCCTACCTTATATTTACAGAGCCAAGGAGCTTCCAAGTTGTCCGAATCCATGAGCTCTTCCTCTGTGTCCTCTGCTTTATAATCAGTTAAGACAGAGTGCTACACAGTCTATAAGCTGAGCTCTGCAGTGCAAACTCCCGCTGCCGTGCTGCAGACCACGTTAGAAACTGATCCCCTTCTGTTGTGCCAAACAACTGTAATTTCTGATTGAGCATCTATCGACAGAGCCACCAGTTTCTCACCATGAGATTATAGTGGCGGCGTCATTGTGGCTGGCCGGCAGCATCTCATTAAAGACGAAACTTTCATTATACATCCCTCCTCTCTTTCCTCTTGATGTATCCACAGTAAAGTTATACTTAAACTTTTCACTTTGCGTCAAATCAACGTGGGCCCTGCAGTTCCTAAGCTCCACCTGTGAGTCTGTCTTCAACTTGCACTCTTCACAATTAGGTCCAAGAAAAAATCAGTTACCTCAATGTAACACATTTCTTTTCAACTTTTATCCTCATAGTCTTGCTGTAAAAGCAGAAAAATACATGGTCGTTGGTCGTGACCTAAACTTCTGCACTCAACTGGAAAGCCACAGATTTGTTTTAACCTTTTGGAAATAAGTGTTTTTATCATTGCTAAAATCTACTCAGGACACTTTTCCATTTAGACGTTTGTTGTAGGCTAACCCTAACCCTAACCAGAATCAGATAAAGCTTAACACTCTAAAACTAAAGCCACATTCTACCTAAAGTACTACCGGAGTAAAGAAGCTCAGTCAGTCTAAAACCTTCAGCTAAATGGGGAAAATCTGTTTTGTTGTAAACAGCATAAGGATAATAACAACAAATCTCCTCCTGAGTGGTCAGCAAGGACCAATGGGGCCCACCACGCATCTCTAAGAACATCCCCAGAGTGAGACTTATTTTATATCAATAGGATTTCCTTGAAAAATACTTGTAGAGTTTGTTTTTATAATAATGTTTGTGTATGCTAGCTGCCTACGCATACATTTGTAAAGCTTCATATAGAACAGTATCACACCACTTTTATTTTACATAAACTTAATCATTTCACAATTGTATCAGATAACATCAGGGCACTTCTGCATGAATTCACCATAATAATCTGACATCTGTCCAAACACAGATTCGGCATATATAAAATCATAAAACACAAAGTAATTTGACTTCCTTTAATCATTCTTACAGTCACGTTATATTGTAAAACAGAATCCTAACACATAAGCCTCCTCATGATGTCTGTTTCAATTCATAAAGTAACCTTTACATCCTGTCCAGATTAAGTCTCATGTTGGTTTACTAAAAAAAAATGTAGATTTTTTTCTTTTTTTCAGTAATGCAATATCATATATCTGGAGAGACCGCTTCCCTTTCTACAGGTGAGTAGAGCTCTGCAGATGAGCTGCACCTGCTGGAAGCTCCACAGGTTTCATGTGGAAACATGTTGAATTAAATATTTAGTATCTGCCTTCTGATTAAATAGTTGAATTTTTTTTTTGTACATTAGGCTACATTACATTATTATTACATTACATTGTACCAATAGCTGTTCAGGATAAAAGAGATATGAGATATTGTTTCCAAAGAGTTTAGGGCTCTTTACCGTTCTCAGCAGCGGCTCTATCTGGGCACCTTGCTCCGTGGGGTCCATCCTCCTCTCAGCCGTATCACAGAGATGATGGAGCAAACCTCCGCTGATATGATCCTGCAGGTGTAGCAGCGACTGAGCGAGCTCACAGCGGTCACATGTTCATCTCACCGCCGGTCAGCAGCTCCGTGGTGCTTTGCGCCTCTCTGCGCTCCTCTCCCTTCACATGCGCATCTCTGCCAGCTGACCGTCGCGTCACTGTTGAACGATTAGCCCTTGTTTCACACGCAGAGTTTTCTGGGTAAACTGTTGTCAGGTCACGTGTGCAAGTTATATAACAATGAATGCTTCTTTAGACCATGGCTCCGCGGGTTTAAGCCATCCCTTGACACCAGCCGATACCCAGACTCATGCGCTTATATGTGTTTAGTGCTTTCCCCACATTTTCCTTGTAATATCTTATCCCCCCCAAAAAAGTGTGTTGATATCGAACCATGTCAGAAAACTGCAGATGTTTCATGCTATTCATAACATTTTCTAAAGATGAAATGTCTGTTGCATATACATATGGCTTGCATTATTCTGTTGGATCTTACAGTTTAAAGTTTAAATTATTATTTTGGTATAGAGGCATAGCCTACTAAAACTTGCTCTAACATTTCTTCAATGGTTCTACAATTTAAGCCCCTGAAATAATCCCAATGTGTAGACCACTCTCGTAGTGTTTTGTGTTTTAATATTCCGATGAACTGAGCAATAGACACAAAGCAGCCACATCAAATGTGCTGCTCTACCAACCAATATTCATTCAATTCTACTTCTTTTTTTATTCTATGATTAGAAATGTTGGTTAAACTATACTAGGGATGCACCGAATATTCGGTCACCGAAAATTATCGGCCGAAAATGGTTAAAAAGGCCCTTTCGGCCGAAAGGGTTTTAGCACCGACAAAATATCACCGAATGTCAGAACAGGCTTACGTTGGTAACCTAACGTGTTGTTGTGATGACGTAATAAAGACGCGGCGACCATGCTCGCGGCTGGCTCTCAGGGGGGGGGAACATTGACCTTTGTCATCGAGATTGCCCTGAGCCTTTAACAAATCGTATTAAATAATCTGATGACAGACTGTAAACAGAATAGCTGAAATGTTAACAAACTAAATAACTCAGTTACCTCTAATCATTAACCCATGTTTGTATAATGTAGTTAACTCCGTGTGTTGCTGCTAGCATACATAACACCTGACGTGGAAACGTTGCTCGTGGATGGGGCTACAGAGCTGCTAGAAAGACGGTCGAACCCGGTACATTCCTCCGTCTGCATGCGGTGCACTTTTGCTAAATGTTTAGACAAATTGCTCGTGCTTACATGCTAAACTCTTATTGCACTTATGGTAACAAGTATTCTCCACATCGAGACGGGTAAAGTTTAACCACACCTCGGAGCGCGTTCTCTCCGCCATCTCCGCAGTGTGCTCCGCTGCATGTAGCAGCTGCGTGTGTGTAAACTGCCCCGCCCCCTCGCACACAGACGGGGGAGAGAGATCTCGTCTGATCGAAAATACATCATAGACGCATTTGTTGTCTTTGCATATTAGAAACGAGTTGGCGACACTAAGACTGCGATATCATGTTTTTTAGCAATAATACATGACATATATAAATGTACTGTATGCATTCAAAAGTGCTGAATAAATGTTTTATGGACCCATAATAGTGATTATTATTTAAGTTAAGTTTTGCCATAATCATGTCTATTTCCATAATCAGGTAGCTGAACAACATTGGTAAAAAATGTATACATTATATATATATATTTCTATTAATCATTTTCGGCCTTTCGGCATTCGGTTTTCGGCCAACTGTTTCCTATTTTCGGTATCGGTTTCGGCCAATAATTTCCCATTCGATGCACCCCTACTATATACTGTATATAAGGGTTAAACAGATCTTCAAACGTATTGAGTCCAACTTCACTGTTCCATCCCAATACATATAGTCTTCATAACGTTTTCTATAAGGATTTGTGGTTTTCATATCAAAGTTCTTATAGCTTCACGTGTGTTTGTTTTCAGGAAGAGTGTTTACTTCCCATGGTGACTTGTTCATCAGAGCTTGTTGGTTGCAGTTGAAACCATTTTTGGCCCTGCAGATTTAAGTATTTTCAACAGCAGGGGTTCCTTCCGCTGATAGAATAATAGTAAAGCATCGCCATCTGGTGTATATCCTGTCCATGTGTCGTTGAATTCAAAAGGGAAACATCTGTACACATTTTCATTGAGTCATAAAAATAAGTTTTGATAGATTTTGTTACTGATTTGATTTGTATTAAAGCTACTGCACTGGACCCGACTGACCTGAGAGAGCCACACACCAACAAAATGATCACTGATCATGCATTCAGATATCGCCATCTACTGTGTATCCCTGGGAAGGTCTATCGCTGCCCGTCAGTGCATAACTACACGCGCACGCACACACACACACACACACACACACACACACACACACACACACACACACACACACACACACACACACACACACACACACACACACACACACACACACACACAGACAGACACTTTAAGACATGCAAGCTAAACACCACACGTCTATTGGCAGCTGTGAGCATCTCCTTCACAACGAAATACCAATGATGTGCACATTGGGTTTATTATGCATCCGTTTTAATTATATTTCTTAACTTCACAGATTTTTGTGTCGGTGTTTATTTTGTTTCTCAAATTAAGCCATTAACAAAATCTAATGACAAGAGCAGCAATACTAAAACCAATCATCCTGCAGTATATAGTAAAAACAAAATCGTGTATTTTCAAGTGATGTTTACCCATTTGCACATTTTTACACGGACAAGACTTTCTTTTCTTGTGTCACTTCCTTTGGTTGCCGAACAGAAAACTGGTCATTTTCACAGGTTTTTTTTTCAGTGTAACTATGAAGTTTTCACCTTTTTATATTGGCAAACAATTTCATTCCAACCAAATGTTATTGCCGGAAAATATTATTTCTAAATCAGCCTATAATAAATAGGGTGTCTAAATACGCATAACAAGCTCTATTTAAATGTATTTGCATTGTTAATATCTCACATGATTTTTTGCCGTTTTTATTTGATAATAGCAAAAAGGAGATGTCATTTTTGCCACGGGAGAGTCTTAATAAACTGACATTTGAATCCGAAATATTAATTTTTTTTGGGATATTCTGGACAAATCAGTGGACGCATAAGAGGACAGGCTCTCACTTTTATTTAATGTCTCAATATTTTAAGATGAGATACAAGATTGTCTCTCATAAGCATCATCTAATAAGATGATGGGATGAAGAAAAATGATGATGCGTTGATAAAAAATGTTTTAAATAATTATTGGTCTGTTTTAAGATAGTTGGAATAACAATTATTAAAATAGGAGCTTGATATTTTTTTAGAAATAAAGAATTGGTTGACCTGATGATAACATCATTTATTAGGTTTACATCACATTACAGCAGATACAGAGATTTCCACAACAACATTAGCATACAGGCTATGAAAAATAACCTTAAATACAAAATGAAAATGAAAAAATACTAAATCTACATTACCAACATTTATAATTTCTTAATCCACAGGTATCATGAATGTTGCAGTGATCGTCATAACCTTTAGCCTACAGCTTTGATAAAGTACAAAATACACATTTTTTTCACTGACAGGGATTAATATGTCAGCATATGCTACACAAGAACATTTCATGTACAAGATTATCGATATCTTTCTTCACTAACAGCTTAGGCTAACATATGAGGTTTTTAAAACACTTGCCTATACTTATAAATCAGATTGTATCTATTCATGTACAACCAATCACTATCACCAAATGTTCATATTATGTACAATATATTTACAATTACAGTGTTTTCTGGAAACAAGGCGCCCGAGCCATGGAAGAATGTACACTTTGACCATAACTGTGGAGGTGACAGTCCTTTTCAACATTTGTATTGATTAACCTGTATAGATAGATAGATAGATAGATAGATAGATAGATAGATAGATAGATAGATAGATAGATAGATAGATAGATAGATAGATAGATAGATAGATAGATAGATAGATAGATAGATAGATAGATAGATAGATAGAGATAGGTTGATTGATTCACAGATCACTTTTGTCATTTTAACTGTGAGGATAGAAACTGTAGTACCCAATGTCCTTTGTGCAGTTTTTCTCACACTCTCGCGGTGCCAGCAGCTCCGATTTTAACGGGGACACTGTCTCTGAAACCGGCGTGGCAGAAGGTGAGATTCTCCTCCTTTTGGCCTGTTCAAAGATACCAGAATCGCTCGAGTCGATGGACTTAATGGAGGACGGCGTCTCTATCCAGTTCGACTCTGATGTCATGTCTTTGGCTTTGGGCTCCTCGGAGACGCCGATCGGTGACCTCTCTGTTGGGATGGGGTCTCCCTCCTCGCTCAGGTAGTTGGTGCCCGATCTGCCACCGAGAGAGTTAGCGGGCCAGCAGGAAAAGACCGCGCTGGGTTTGCTGTTTACGCCACAGTACTGCGGCGGCGTGCGTCCTCCCCAGCCTGACGGGTCTGCGTAATAGCCAAGAGGCCGGTTAGAGCAGCCCGCAGTCGGCAGGGGAAGAGCCTTCACTCCGGCCGCTGCGTAGGACAGCAAGGTGGCCGCGTTACCGGCGAAATCAGCGGCGTCGTATGCCGAGGCAGCAAAGTCCAGTCGGTTGTTGGCAGGGGTGACAAACCATCGCTGCGGGGGGGTGGCAACAGTGGGCTCGTCGTTTTGCTGCGGGGACAGCAAGCTGTTGCCGAGTGGGACGCTTCGCTCCGTGCCAGGACAAGTCCCCACGCCAGGGTGAAAGCGAGATTTGGCATAAGTGCTGACAAATTGGTCCTGCAGGAAAGAGCTATGCATGGCATATCTCGCACCCGGCATGATCTGTGAACGCGGAGAGTCACCCGGTGATGGAGTTAGGCGGTCGATGTCGCAGCCTGTGTAGACACTGAGAGATGCAGAGAAAAACAGAGACAATTCAGTTAATCAACTGTGCGATAAAGCAGGGTTTCTAGAAGTTAGTGAAATGTAGGTCAATATAATATCCATGCTATATTTAGTATGGCTAGATTATAATATCTCATGAGGGGATACAATTCCCCTCAATTGCATACGTTTGACACATTTTTGGCAACACACCCATATCTTTACGCATGTAAATTGTTTCCAAATAGGCCCTCAGCTTTATACAAATTATTAAAACATTGATCTATGCAAAGTTGCATTGCCACAAACGTATTGTTTCAGTTGTTTTACAACTACTTTTACAAGTTTAATATTGCAAGTGTTTAATTAGCTTATATTTTCAAAACCAGATAGGCCAAGCTCAAATGAAATTGTTTGCAATTTCCTCGTTTCATCTATAATCAATGTAAAAGTACAAAAACCCATGTTTTTATTTTCTCGATTTTTCTTAAATCTTATAACCCTTTAACCTATCCTTATAGCTGCATTTTAGAGTTGCATTAAACAATGTTATTAAGATATTATCTGGTTCTTGATTTAGGAGTTTTATGGATTTATTCAAACAAAGAGGCAATACCAAATACAATTACATTGAATAAAATTATTGTAAAAATAATAAGGAAAACCTTACGTGTCGTAGTTGTCCCGAAATCCTTTAGCAAACGGATTGTGGTCAATTTTCAGTTGCGTAATCTGTGGAGAAATAACGCCATGATTAAGAAATATGCGGACTGCAGCTCTTTCAATGTGAACAATAATATTTCTTATACATTTTATGCTTATTAAAATCCATATAATTGTTACAAACCAACGAGCTTAACATAACTACAATTTGAAAATGCAGAAAATTCTGTTTCTTTTCAACAATATTGAACAAATTAATATGAGTCTTGTTTGGGGGAACAATTTCAGGGTTGTGTGGGATATGAAGTGCAGGTCTTACGTCGGTATTCTGGTAGGCTGTGACTGCGATGAATTGCGTTTCTGTGAAGGTGAAAGTCTGGACTCTTCCAGGTTGGCTGGTGTCTTCTGTCCCATCCTCGTTTACTTCCACCACATGGAGCCTGGGCTGGTACTTGTGGAGAGACTGCAGAACCACCATCTGGAGATCCAATTAAAGACGCGCGTCAGAAACTCAGCTCCAAACGTTGGATAGATTATTAAAGCAGCATGCTGATCTGATTTAGCTCCATTAATCTTTTATTCTATAATTATTTTTATAACGCTTTACTAGTGAAATTGTACTGTAAAAAAACACAACTAAAACACCTAGATTAAAAATAATAATTTGAAATGCAAAAGATAGGAAGGGAAAACATGTTTTTATTTGTACAACTTTTATTACGTAAATAAACCAAAAAAAAATGTTATCGAACATGTTGCATTACCTGTCCCGTGTTGTTGGAGGCACCTTTGTTGTTTGTAAGCTTTAGCTTTCCAAATGATATTTCTTGACGCATCCAATGAGCTCCGGTATTTGGTGAGTCCGGGTGCATATAAACCCTATTTCCTATAAAAGAACAAGCAAAATCAAAACAGGGTTGATTACAAATAATAATAATAAGAAAAACATGGCCAGGATTTTATTTGTGTATCTGAATGTTGTCCAAATACACAGTGCAACTGTACAATAAAAAAATCACAAACAATTTTAATATGGAATAACAAATGTTAATTGTACAATAAATGTAGGAATTCGTTATTTGTATTACCTGTAACATTTGTGTCTGCTTTCCCACATGGCACCCACTTGCCTCCCTGAAATCGCCAGTGATTTGGATCAGCAAGTATTACATCCACAAATATATTGTAGTGAGCAGTTGGGTCAAGGCCAGAGATGTTGAAGCTTAAAAATGGAAACATTCGTCTGTGGAAAATAAAGAAAAAACACAGATTTAGAAAACGCCTGCCATGACAAAAAATGGACATAAAATAGGTAAGATTCCTCCACCATGCTTTTTTATTTATGGAAAGATGTGTTGATGATAGGCTTATCAAAACATTTGTTTTAACTTTGGAAATAAACGCTTGTAAGTAGGCTAATGTATTTAAACCTTCACCACTTACCGTCCTTGCTTTGTGATGATCATCTCTGTCTGGTGCCTGTGGAACTTCAGCCACAGGGCCCTGTTGCACAGATACACCTGCGCTTTCCCCGGAACCAGTCCTGCTTGCGCCGTGGAGAACTGGTAAAAAGCCCCTCCTTGGTAAGTGTGTCCATACTGTTGCGCGTACGGGTAGCCCGCTGCCGGATAGCCTTGAGGAGAAGTGTTGGTCAGAAGGCTGTTGTAAGCTCCATTAGTGATGACCGGGTGATGGGCCATATACCGGCTGGGACTTCCGATAGAAAATGCCGGGTGCGCTGGTCCATGCTGCGTCGGGTAAGGGAACATGGCACTGGGAGCTGCTGAGATTGACTGTGGCTGGGTAGATGGAGAAAAGATGCACCTTTCTCCTGCAGATCCATCGAAATTATGACGGATGTCAGAGACTCCGTGTAGACCAGGAGAGAGTTTGCCCCTCTGGACGTCCCCTGATGCGTCCTTGGAGTCGGGAAAATTGTCTGCCTCTGACTGATTCGTCATCTCCCCAGAGTTTTTTTTAAGAGGTGAACTTCTCTCCAGGTTGTCACTTGCAGATATAATAGGATGGTCCTGCAACGAAAGCTCTGATCCATCGGAGCTCGAGAAGCCACTGCCCACATTCATAAATGTATTGGAGAGATCACTCGCTGGCGAGATGCAATTCTCGACCTGCATTGCTCAATATGAAACCACTATTAGCTCAACCTATATCACAAGCTTTTAAACGCGCTTTCCTAATATAACATTATGAAAACGCCTTGTGCTACTGAAGGCAGCAAATTAGCCAATTGACACCATCCTGCGAACGGAACGGATTTTCTTCCCGTCAGGCTCCCTGCTTTGCTAATGAAACAAGTATTGTCATTGGTTAACTCAAGGCTGTAATTTAATTAGACAGCTCTTAATTAGAACAATCTGAGCCGCGCTGTGAGCATAATGATTTGTTTGTAGTGTGACATGGGCCTATATTTGATTAGAATAAATGGACCTCGACTGTTTCTGATGTATATGAGCAGGAAAAATAAAAGTAGCCTATAACGGTTCTAAATATTGTTTTCTACTGACAGCTCTCACGTCAGCTGCGTTATTTACCTATTTGTCCACGTTATTTACCTATTTATGCGCCAAAGTGCCAAAGTATGTCTGCCGAGGAAACCAAGATATATTATTAACACACCAAAAATGACAGTCCATGACAGGCAGTGCATCTGATGCCTTAAAATGTTTGTGGTATAGCGTGAAATCATGGCGTCCCATAAGATGTGTTTATGAGTCCCAGTGCTGATAAATATGTAATGCCCTAAAGTTATGAACCCGTGGATGATAACAGGGCTGCTTGGGTAAATACATCTCAGATAGTAAAAGAAAACCTCAAAAACATTTTATTTACAATCACTTCCTTTTTTCTGTCTTTTGGAGAAGTTATGTACGAGTTAGAGGCTCATTAACTCACATTAAGTCTGATTGGTCGCACTTAATGAAGCATTTCCCACTAAATAATATTTGAAAGGATTAATTAAATGTCAGCAGAATGCACATCTCTAAGATAACTTGTCATTTGTTTGATTAGAGTATGTCTAACATCGAAATGAAAATAAAAGAGAGCAAAGCAAAACAACAAAACATTTTAAATATCATCTTTCCAAAAGTACCTGAAGACCTCACGTCATTTAATGAATTATTGTCAGGATGTTGATAAGGATTCAATTAATTTATGAATATTACACTAAAATCCTAGAACAGCTGCAGCCTTCTTGATGGTTATTTACACAAACTGTTTTTCAGGGGGAGGTGCTTAGAGTTTATTTAATGGTTGTAAGACCTTTTTTAAATTGGTGATAATCATTTCATCCTGATTTTTACACTTCTAGTGCATTGTACACCTGAACAATAATGTAACTCAATATAACCTTTATAAAGCCAGTCAGGCAGGTGTTGAACTCTTAACTGTTAGTTTTGTATGTGGTTGTATTCAATTGCATTCTATTAAAAGGTTCTTCTCGTGTGTGTAAATTGGGGTAGACCAAACAGAAACTTTAAATAAAAAGTAGTGAAGATGTGGCCAATAACTGATTATGTTCCCTTCTCTATATAACTTTTGGTTTGCTATACTGCAGTGTCATTAACTTGCACAGCACTATCTGGACCAGACGATGGTAAGAAGACCAATCAGGGTCTATTTCTCGGTACATCCTCTCTGAGGAACTGCCATGAATCTCTGAAGCTAACAAGAGGGGTCATTACAGTCGGGCTATAGGGTCCAGCAATCTATTCCTGTGAAAAATGCAAGCACAGGCTTGTCTGTGCCCACGTAAAGAGGCCACTCTCTGCTCTGCTCATTACAGGATTATGGTTCGCTTCCATCACTGATCTTTAATAAGCAAAATGGGCTGCCCCCCCACCCCCACCCCCTGAACCAACCAATTGTTGAATCACCCGTGCAGCAACACACTTTGTCTCCCCAGGTGCTCTGGTGCCTATTTATCAGACTAAGTCCTGTATTTCTATTGGCTCAGCCAGCTAGTGGACATAACCAAAGAAGGGGAGGGTTAGGGGGTGGGGCTGATTTGTTATGCTGGTGGACAGCCTTGTCCCTGGGGAAGATGGCATAGTGCAGATTAGGATCTCTTCCCCCTGCCTTGTACCAATCCCTCCATTGACCAGCTGAGCTTAATTCACTGGGTCCCTATGTACATGTATTTATGCTTTATCTACTCTAAAATCACCTTTTAACTTTAATTCTCATAATCCATGTCCACATTTTCAACTTGTTAATGCAGATAGGGTATAATACTAAAGCCTAAACACAATTGCAACAAAACGATTTGAAAGATCATTAGAAATAACTCTCAAAAGATACAAATAAGGCTCTTTTTAAATCAAATCAGTTCTGGTTAACAATGTTAAATTGAGCATAACACAGCGTGTGTTTTTTTTTTCCAGGCCGCTGTATCACCATTTTTTATTGTTGTGCCAAAAAAATCTGCTTGCCACCTGGGTCTAATCTAATCAATGTGAATGACAAGGAGAGAAAAATCCTGAAAGTGAGCACCGGCTCAGGGACTTTACCTAATGCCCAGCACTGTCACTTCAATGATATGATCACAGCACACAAAATGACAACAAAATTATAGCCAGCAAGGATATGGGGACATAGTGTGCTACTCCAGTCAGGTGAAATTGCTTTTTCCGACTATGAAATGGCTTGTCTCTTGTCGGATGGGTAAACATTTCCTTGTCAGGCCAGTAATAAGGAATGAGGCACACTGGGCTGAACTAAGAGGATAGAGCCAAGGTTATTTGGGATTCATGACAGGTAGTGGCTTATATTACAGCGGCACTAAAAATTTCATGGGAATGCATTTAAGATGGCCTTTAAGTTATTTATATGTTGTTTGCCAGACGTCACATTGCAATTTCCATCAATAAATCAAAGTGAAGTATTACTTCCTTTCTTCAAGGCTCTTAGATTTTTTAGGAAAAAAGGCAATAGCTGTATTTACCTTAGTTTTTTAATTACCTAGCATAACCAATCTGATCAAGTGTGGGGGTGCTTTGTGTTTTGCTAACAGAACTATTGCCCCCTGTGGTTTCCTGCCATCAGTGATCTGCTCTGTCAGAGGGAATCAGGGTGCTCTTTGACAGGAAAGACAGCTGGAGGCCTGCTAAGGGGCGGAGTGGACATTTGTGGCTTTTAAACCCTTATTATCTGTCCTCCCTGGACACAACAAGACACGCGTCTACGCAGAAGTGCACTCCTACACCTGCTCATTATTGATGTCCGGACCTTACCACAAAGCTCACAGCAAATTAACCTCAGGACAGGTGATCGTGATGTTCACTGGAAGCACAAGTGACATGGCTCCTGTGCTAATACCTGAGCCTGCTCTCTAGAGATTATTCACCCAAAACAAATATTTATACATTTGCTGATTTGTCTGGAACAGAGAACAATGCAAGATAACAGAGATTCTATTTTTAATACAATTATTTATCTCTCTATTGTTGATGTATTTAGCTATACTACTTAGTTTCTTACTGATCAGTTCACCGTGTATTCTATTTAAATCAAGCTTTACAAAAATAAAAATGAAAGAATAATACTCAAACTGTATTATTTCAGGTAATTAAATTCAGTTTATTGATTTATGACATGACAATGCACTACTTAAATTAAATTCAGTACATTTTTTAGTTGCAAGGTCTTCTCTAACCACAGTCTTCTCTAACCACAGCACTATGCTTTTCAATATTCCTGCACCACATGTGTTTATCTCTTGATTAAGGAAAAGGATGTTGTTGTTAGTTATTTTTATCTTCTGTCTTTATTTGTGTTAGTCGTTTTTTTACATAACCGGACAGTGACAGTGTGGCAATTAACACTCCTATGGAAATAATAGTCTACTCTTTATGAAAGAATGCACCATGAGCTCTCAACTCAGCGCTCAATTGAGACCTCCCCTTTGGAAAAATAGACTAGAGATGACGGGAAAATTAATGCATAATTATAAATGTGTGAATTTTATTTCATACCTATTTTGTAGCAAATGACACTTGTGAAATATAATAATCCTCTGGGTGCTGCACACCCTGAGAGAGCAGTGCCAAATCTCATGCTCTCTGATGTGTAATATTATGCTTAACAAAGGGTGAGGATATAATGTCAGGAATCACAAAGTTAGTGGAAGGGCTAATGTCACTACGAAAACTTCTTTTATCACCTGCGAGTGACCTGTTATCAACTGTTTGGTTTGTTGCTAGTCTCTTTACATGTTAAAGAGCCTGTGTGACCCGGGGAGTGCAGTTGGGGTTTGTGACCATTTTGTTATTTCTGCTGCCATGCACTGTCAGACGTCTGCAAGCGAAGAACATGACCCCTCTCCCCAGTAAGCCCAAGGCATGAAAAATGCAGACTAACTCTACTTTTGAAGGCATTTCTGATGAAAAGCACACAGAAATGAAACTGACTTATGCCAAATGAATATCATTGAATCGCTGTGATTGTGAGGCTGATGTTTGTAACATTGAAATTATTTATAAAACATCAGTTCCATTTTAAGAGTATGGCCATGCCATGAAGTGTGCACTTACTCCTTTGAGAATCCTCTGAGGTTTTCATTCGAGCACTATATCAGCCTAAAGCTGAACACTGTTATGTCAAACAAAAGAAAGAAGACTGTAAATCCAGTGAGTGAAGCTTAGCTTTAATGCTAAACTGCATTGCTTAAACAGGATGAAAATAAAGACCCAGTCACTGCTGTGTCTGCCAGTTAATTTTGTTATCAATAACTAGCTTGACATGATGATGAATTATCTATAAACAACAACTTAGAAACCTGTTATCTGATAGATCAACAAAATGTGTTACATAAATATTCTTCATTATATCTAACGGGTGATTTACCGAAATACTTTTTCAAATAAAATACAAATGCTGCACAGATGTCTTCAAAAAATAAACAAAATTCTCCGGTTGAAGACAAATATTTTGGGGCACAATAGGAGCAAACAGGCGACTGTCGTGTTACAAGAATAATCTTCATTAAAATCACAGGCAACACCACCAGGCCAACACACAGCTCATTGGGAATGCAGTGTGAAAAGAGAGGCCCACAGATTATCACTCTGCGTAACTCATGTTTAATTTATCCAGGAGCAATATTGTCAAGAGCCCT